AGTTTCATACCACTCGGCTCATGTAGAACATTGTATATATATATATAAACTATGACTAAGTCTCCTGAACACCTTGTCCAAGACTCCCATATAAATGGCTTTTGTTGAAGCTCCCAGCCTCATAAAGGGGCAGCTTCCGCGCCGTGCACACGTTCCGCAGCTCAGTTAGGATCTGCCGAAAGATTTGGGCAGCTGACCGTGGCCACAACAAGCAACAAGGACCGCAGCTGAGAAAACCGCACCGATCTCGCAATCCTTTGGGTCGCCCCCCGGCCTTGCCCTGCGACTCGACGCGGGCTTTCCAGTAGGCCTCGCCACTGCTTTCTTCAATGATCTGATTCACCACTAGCCTCACAGAAGGACCAGGCCGCATTCTCACTCTCACCCAGATCCAGGATTGTTGGGCATGTCCATAAACATGTGCACATTATGTGTGCAAATCGCCAAATCCAACTCTGCTTCAGTTCGTCCCGACTCGCCTCCGGCAGCAAATGCCCTGAGCCTTAAGCTCCTGGACCTTACCGTGGTGGGTCAAACAGATCTGGTAGGCTACGGGTGGCCAAATCAGTGAAGGCTCCTTAGAAGACCCTGAGGGGCTTATCTCCTTCGTGGGCGGGATCACTCTAATTGATACGAATGTATACAAATGTATGTGTTGAAGAGAGAGAGAGAGAGAGATAGATAGATAGATAGATAGATAGATAGAGATATAGATATAGATGTACCTATATGCATATACCGGTCACCTTCTATCTCTTTGACTCAAGACCTAAGCAGCCAAAAACACCTTACCCGCACCTCCCTCACTAGGGCTCCTCGCGAGGCGCTGTGCTTCGGCGGCGTCCAGCTCTGTAGGCCGGGTGACCACCACAAACCTCAGCAACGCGGCGAGGCGTCAACTGCTGGGGAAAGAATGTAGCTGAGAAAGGTGTCAACTTAAGATAACTTAAGTATATATACTTATGCAAGTGTTGCTCTGTGACCTCATGGGCTCATCTTCTCAATTCGTGACGGGCCACAAGCAGCGTGAAAGTCAAAAAGTATGTTAGGTTTGGGAAGTCAGGCTTGCAGTTGGCTATGGCTGTTTCACTAGTGCTTAGAAGATTAGCGTAGGCCGCCTAGCCTGGCCCGGCCTGGCTAGACACCGCAGGTGATTTGGCCTTTGTTGACCAACAGTATACAGGATGCCCAATCGCCAATTCCCGCAATCATGAACATGTGAAGTGGCCCAAAACACATGCGCAAGCACTGATTATGTTTCTATCGCATCCCAGCATCAGGACCATGCTAGTGTCGGCAGAACTGCTGTGATATGCCCATCGGCATTGAGGAAGTTTTCAAGTCCAATGCTGGTCATCCCGCTGGTAGAGAGGGTGGGATAGTGCACAGGCACGTGCCATCCAGCATCTTTCAACCACCCGATGATCTCCCAGTGTTTCCAGCGATCGTGGGTGGAAATATGAAGCCGGCGCACGCGACCAAGCAGCCATGAGGCCAAACCCTTCAGCAACGGATGCTCATATCCTTGCGCATCAATGTCCACTAAATCCCAAGGCTCCCCATCCAGCAATGCCTTCAACTGTTCAGACGACTTCAGCATCTCTTCATGAACCACAAAATTACAGCGCCCTTCCGGGAAGTTCCAAGCCAAGTGGCTCTGCAAGACGCTGTGATCACCCAGCTCGAAGGGTTCCACCAACAACAACTTGCATCCCTGCCATGGCTCCGCATGACGCAGGAAAGCTTTGGCTGCACGCGCCGCCCATAGACCATAGGCACCGGAGCCGATGTCCGCCATGCGAAACGACCGCCGATGAGAGGCGGCATCGAAAGAACTGCTCAAAATGTCCGCCCACTCGAGGTACTCCTCATCCAGGATCGGCCAGAATCGTGGAAGCGGGACATTCTGATGGAGCCACAAGCATTCAAAGGAACGGCTTGGAGCATACAATGCTAGCTGTGTCTCATAACAGTGTCCCTCCACTGGATTGCTAATGCCTAAGAAATCCAGGAAGCGCTCCTCTGTAGCAGGACCGTGCACCGGAGGAAAGGCATGGAAAATGCGAAAGTGAGGCTTGTCACACGTCTCATGAAAAATGTTTACGATACAGCCGTTTCCGTGACTCAGTTGGAGTTCGTAAACGCTTTGACGGGACTTGGTCTTAGCATAGTCCAAGAGTTCACTTCCCATCTTTGCAAGGCCGACTATATCTGGCGCTAAGTCATCTGCAATGGTTGCGCCGAGTGAGCCTGTCCAGTGCAAAGAGCGCTTCAGAGGCATAAACTTCTTCCAGAAGGCCAATCGTGCCTCGTGCGCCCGGCCTGAGCCTGGTGAGCCTGGCCGCATGTGCAGCTGCCATCGTGTGGCACGGTCAGTGAAGTTCCGAAGCCTTGAAATATTCGTTTCCAGATGATTCTTTAAGTCCGCCAAGTCACTGCGGACCTGTCGACCAATCTCTAGGAATTCCCCCAAACACCTGCAGGCCAACTGAGGCACACAGCCTCCATGTTCTGCCCGCATGGCTTCACAAAAGTCCAAAAGCTCCTCTGAGTACGTGTTGATATTCTCTTCTTCCTGGAAGTCGAAACATCGAAGTGCCTGCAGCACCTCCTCCGGCGTACAAACAGCAGCAGCGGAAACAGCAAGCAGAAGCACCCTTTGGCATCGTGCCAACTGCACCATGGCAAAGCTGCTGTGTCATTGATTGCTGTGAAGGCGTGAGTCTAGTAGGGTCTAGTCTGCTGGATAGCTGGCAGCGCCACCAGCCATGCAGCGTTGACACACATCAGTCAATCTTTCTTAGATTTGTGCCGCACCGATCCTGTGGGTTAGGATGTTGGGGACTTACTGTAGCTCCTTGAACATCTGCCCATGAGCTTTGAGTGAGTGAGGTCCCATGGGTTGAGGCTCACTGCTAGGGATGCAATTGCCTTACAGAACAAATTTCACTCCCTACTTCCACGTCCGAGCCAGATGTAGATATAGACTAGATATATATATATAATTATATATATATATACTATATATAATATATACATACATCGTCACGAGCTTGCCAAAATCACAACATATCACAACGTCCTCAGCTGCTATCAACTCTCTTTGGCTCTTTGGGGTTGGCTGAGGCCGGATTGCCTGTCACTTCTTCAGTCCATTACCCCGCTCGATGAAAACCCTGAACAGCTCGGGCACCGGCTCTGCGCTGGCCCCACTGGAGACACCCTTCGCAGGTGGAGGTGTCTTCAAAGCTCGTCCAAGGAATGCGACCTGGGCACCCCAGCTATCACATCTCTAGACCAACCTAGTAGCAATGGCCTCGACCCTAGTAGCAATAGCCTATGAATCAATCCTTGAAGCGCCAACTTCATCCGTTTAGAAGGCACGCAACGGAATGCCTACCAGTGTCGTCCTGAATGCTAACCAGGCGGCTCGTTCTCGGATCGATTTGACCTTCCTCTCCGCCTCCCATGGTGCAAAGTGACAACCATACGGACTGATACGGCAACATATTCAACAACGTGTCCCAATGATTCCCCATGTGTTTGCGGCACTTCCTCATCGCAATCCCCGACTGCGTCACTGCGTCCTCGCTCTGGTCAAAACATTTTCTCCTCCATTCCGGGCGGTCAAAAGTCCTCCAAATCCAGCAGGATGTCGATGGCATCGAGATAATTTGACCTTGCCTCATCCAACTCCTGGACCTGAGAAAACATGCGTGCGCAGGAAATTGGCCCCGTCTCCCAGAACATGTCGCAAATACTATGTTACTATATCCCAGCAATTGTCCAGGAAGCGCTTCAGGCATCTTCAAACAGCCCATCCTCCCATCTCCCCCCACCCCATCCAAAACATATCTATCCCTTTCAAATCCTCTCAGATCCCTCTCAGATGCCTCGAGCATTCCGCCTCTCAGATGCCATCGAGCCACGTTGCAGGACCAGTTCCAGCAGTCATCCGCCTCATTGCTCCAGGCCACCGAGAGCCTCAAGGCTCGACCTAAGACGTCCGTCTTCTGGAGCACCGCGTCCGGGTCGTTCACCACGCCTGGACGTCCGACCCGGGTGCGAAACGGGCCGAGGTTCCTCAGGAGTTCATCCGAGTTCATTGCATTCTATTGGAACACTATTAATTAAGTAGAAAGGTATGCAAAATAGAACTGAATAGTAAACCAAATACGATTAGCGATGGCCTCCAACCTAATGGCGATGGCCTCCAATCTATGAGCCTGCCACAGCAAATGAGCCATTAACCTGCTAATCAGCTCGATTCCAAGAAAATAAATAAGACTTGATGAGACCCCTTCTGGCTGGGCACGAGCAGGTTGAGATACGAGATCCAAAGACGCATCTTTCAGGCGCAAACCTTCCCAGCCTGGTTCTTCAACCAGAGCTTGTGCCAGCTCCTCAATAGGTCCCAAGTCTGAGATGACCTCACAAAATGCAGTGGTTCGGATTGAACAATGCACCTGCCACACGCATAATATATACACATAATATATATTTCTATATGTATACTTCAAGAACCCTAAAGCCCTAAAGTTTACGCTTCTTACTCTGTTCCAACATGACACTTGCCGTCTACAGCGGATCGGATTGACACATCCATTTTGCCTGGCAGGTTCAGCACGGTCAGATTTCCACACCCGTTTAAATCTATAATACTTATAGGCTTTCAGGTGTGGAAATCTGACCGCAACTTACAGCAGGTGTCGACATGTTGCACGTAGGATTCTAAGGCAAAAGGGTTTGTCCTGATTTAGAGGTTAAGAAGTGCAACTTTCGGCACCCCCAGTGTATACACAGAGGTTCTTCGGTGAAGGAACTGCGAGATTACTGGAGTTCTCGGAGGCAATCATCCCCTTTCCATCCCTTTTCCTGGCCGTCCGGGTGCAGTTGTGCTATGGTCACCATGGTCCTTCCAGGCCTTCAGCAACTCACGGCGCAAGGCCTGGCCACGGTCCTCCTCCAAGAGTTCAACCTGGTTGGGGCAAAAGAAGATATATAAACTGATAAACGTTTAAAAATGTAGAAACATGATGAAAGATGTACAGCAGGTCGAGAACTGTGGGGAGAAACATTCGCAGTCGGAGTCTGAGTGTATCTATCTACTGTATCTGTCTATCTGTCTATCTCTCTGTCTCTATCTCTATCTCTCTGTATGTAAATATAGTTATATAATATATATATATATATATGCACAATACTGTATTAGCATGATTTTGCACATTGCAGCACATTTCAGAACCGAGCCACGAAGAGCTTATCAATGGCCTGCAGAGTTTTGCGCGCTCTCCTCGGCAGGGCACGCTCCATCTCAACTCAACAGTGTTTCAGGGACCTTCCATGAGACAGTCAGCCAATATTCACCTCACATGGCGTAGTGTGTGGGTCTCAGACTTTCAGTTCCTTGTTCCCACCTGAGGTGCTCAGTTCCCTCTCTCTCCGAGTCACTCCCACCAATTTCCCCACCACCGATCCACCGATTCCGCTGTGCCGGGCATCCAGATCCGCTGCCGCGCGGGCGACGACTTGGGCGCCTCCCGTGGATCCAAGGGCGGCACCTGAACCCGTCGGGTCCGCTCCAGAATGGCCTGCGGCTTGGCACGGGCCGGCGCCGCCAGGCACCAGCAGTGGGAGGCCACCATGAGGATGAGACCTGGAAACGTTCAAGAGTGAGCTAGGCTGGTTTCGCTTGGAGCTTGCCGATACACCCAACAACATGTGTCAGGAGCAGGATGTCGGCCTCTGGAAGATACAAACTTGAAGTCGAGACATACATTAAAAAAATCAGAAAAATAGAATCAATTTCCGTGATGCTTTCAGGACAGATTCCTTGTATCAGGACATGTGCCAATGTGCCAGCGCCCCTCGGAAAATCAGACCAACTCGTCTGGATTCCTTCTCGTCCAAGTCCGCTGAGCGCCTCGTCTGCTTCTCAAAGCAGCCGAAGCACGTGGGGTCTCCATCAGTCGCACGGACGGCGTTCGCACCGCTTCGCACGTGCGAAGCCCGGTTCGGGCAGGCAGCCAAGCCATGGGAATGTGAGCACAAACAAAGGGGAACAAGTCTAAGCATCACCTTGTGAAAACAAGCGTGCTCTTTTTCAGCGAGAGGTGTTCCCTTTGACTCATGTGCTGTCATGATCCACACCAGTTTTTTGCTGGCTGCTCATCTCTCTCATGTGCAATCTACCGCGGCATCTTTGGCCGCATGAGCGTCGGCTAAAACACCAATGTCAGCACACATCAACCATTCATAACCAATGAACTATTCGGTAAGAACCTAAGGATGAAAAGAATAAAAGCAGTCCGAAGTGATAAGGAAATGAAGAATTGGAATTAAACATAATTCTATAAATGAAAAATAGCAAGACTCAAGGCTATACAAGGTAGTGCCTAAAAAGTACCCTGTTGATGAGGCGTCGGAGACGGGATACATTCCAAACACTCAAAATAAATCGGTCATACGTCAGATCTGACTGTAGTCAGCACAAGTTTGACACTTGCCAGGCCTCGTCAAGTTTGTCATCAGCCCCACTTGCTAAACCCAAGCCCAACATGCCCAGCCTCAGCCAAAGTTCCGGGAAAAGGTGCAAGAGATTTTACAGACTTTGTTTCCGGAAGGGGTGTCATTATCTAGGAAGAGGTGCATCATTGTGGGCGTGGCCGCTGATGCTAAATTTGAAATGCTCGGCAATCGTGGCCCAACCTTTGATCATCTAGCCGGGCGCTGTCCCACCAGCTCAACCAATTGATTTGCATTGCATGTCTATGTATATATTATATATATGCATCAAATACCTACCTTGCTTTTCGCAGTTGTAACATAGGACATCGGCCTGTATCCCACAAGCATGCTTCAACGAACAACTTTAGGCATGATGTTCTTGGCCTAGAAGTGCGCACGAATGTATCAGGAGATGCCCTCCTCAAGTCCATGTTTCATCTCCTTGAAGCACTAGGTTAGAGGCCATCGCTAGTAGGTTGGAGACCATTAGTACTAGTAGCAAGAAGCTACTAGTAGCTATTTGCTAATCTGCTTGAAGCTCGTCCATTCCCAGTGCGTGGTCAATTTTTCTTCCATGAGCGCCAACAGGCTGAAGGTGGCCTGCACGAGTCAGCATGGTTTGCGGACAAAAAAAGGTGCATCTCCAGGCAATCACGGCACCTCATGAATGTCAGAGAAGCCTGAACCTGTCTGAAGAATGACGATGGAAACTTGCAACTGATGACTTCGCAAGGTTTCAACAATGTCATCGCCAAGTTTTGCCTTAAGCTACCTGCTGTTCTCAACACTCTGCCCTCAAAAAAGAACTGCCATCCAAAAGCATTCTCGCAACTCACAATCCCACAACTTCATCTGAAGGCCCACAGCCCAGCCTGGTCGAGTTCTTCTCGTGCCTGCGCCACCTGCCACGCCCAGCGCAGCATCCCCTCCGCTCGGCGCCGACGCTCGCAGAGCTTCAGCGTCTCGGCTTCCCAGAAGGTCAGCTGCCTGTGGCCAACGTCCCACAAACTCCCTCCGCAGGTCATCCACAATTCACATCTCTTGAGTCTTGGGCATGGCAAAAATGAGATGTGGTTTTGTGTTGACCCGTTTGTGATGGCGTTTCTTTTTCCGTCCACTGGATGCTGTTGCGTGCCCAGCCATTCTTCATCCAGGCCTTTCCAGCTCTCGTCGGACTTCAAGATGTTGAGACAACGCATCTTGAGCCTGCCAAGCACTTCCCGATGCCCATTGCTGTCACTCTCAGTCACACATCAAGACTCTGCTCTTCTTGACTCACCTATGTCACTCCAAGGGGGGCTTCGGATGCCAAAAAAAAGGTCGCGAAAGAAACACACCAGCAACAAGGAGTTTTCAGGAGCAAGGGCATCGCTACTAGTGACAAAGGGCACTACTACTAGAAGCATTCTTACTACTACTAGTATCAACCAGCGCGCCATCTCATCTCTGCCGCCTTGGGCGTACTGCTCTCCCCGTCGTGGCTCGGCGCCGAGCCGTCGCGACGCTCCCTGAAGGGCGCTCCGGGACTGCGGCCACGGTCCAAGGAGAGGATGGCCGGATCACTGCTGGTGAGCTCCTGTCATCTGTAGAAGCTGACCATGAACCAGGAAGCCTTCTTTGGTTTTGGCGGTGTTCGTTCCTGCTTGTGTCCAGCATAGACTGGTTTGAATCCAGTGACAATGTGCTCCAGGGTTCTGCTGGCTACTATCTTTTCAAACCTCCTGTCACAATCAAAGTGTGCGATGATACTCTGGAACTCGGTGCCATCCACACCTGCCCGTCACGAGCAAATCCATGTGTGATAGCCGACAGTTCTGCAAACGCTTGGGGTCTTGAACCACCTCCATATTACAATGTGCACTTATTAATGGTAGCGTCTTGTTACCAGTAGTGCTGGCCTCCACCCAGCGATGGCCTCCAACCATATAGAGATGGCCTCCAACCTACTAGCTTCTTGTTACTAGTAGTACTGCCCTTGTTACTAGCAGCGATGCACTTGTTACTACCTCCTTCCCATGTCTCCTGCCAAAAAAGATCCCATCTTCGCCCCTTCCCACGCCCAGGCGGAAGCGGTGGAAGGCGGCCGCGGGGGGTGGCCGAGCGCCGCGGGGCCGTGAAGCTTGCAGCCTCGCTGGGATGTCGCCATTGGGAGACGTCGGGTGTTATGTGATGTTGAATTGGAAGGATTCTTCAATCTTGTAGCCCACTGGATCAATCATTTTCTGTCACCGAACGGAGAAAAGGCCATCAAAGTGACATATTCTTCAAGGAATATCACTGGACGATTCTGGGACCTCCTGGGACCTGCATCGGGCCCAGTTAGACAAGTCGCACCTCTATCATGCCTCTAATCGATTATAGTGTCAACCAGCCTGGGCGACATAGTTCCTGCGATTCTCCGCCGGCGCGCTGCCAGAACTACGCTGCGAAGTTCTGAGCCAGGCCGAGACAATCGCGGGGTCTTGGAACGATACGACGTAAGGTTGGCTGATGAAAAGATTGTAGCAATCTTCTCAGGGGCATCCCATGGGACCAAGAAAAGCCAAGTGAGGCTGAATCCTTCGCAATCCATTCTCTTCATGTGCCTCGGGAATCCTCCAACATGGTCTATCTATATATATATGTGTGTGTGTGTGTGTTTGCAACCCCCTATGCAATGGGCTCTGTCCACCAAGGCACGTGATGAGCTCGCGACACTCCAAGACCTGGTCGAAGTAGCGCGTCCGGTCTCTACGGCACATCTCCAGGCGCAGGAGCAACTCCTCTAAGGCCTGCGGAGGTGGTGCTGGGCCCAGGTGCAGCCTTCGAATGGACATGGAGTCCTTCCAAATGCTCCGTTCGTACGATGCCAGGAGCCCCGTTCGTAGCGTCCTCTTGCTCCTAGTAGTATGGCCAGGAGCCCCTAGTAGCGTCCTTGCTACTAGAATGGCGACCCTCCAAAGCCTAAGTATGCCAGAAAGTGGATAGAAGTACTCGTGGGTTGGGGGACTCCTCAATTCGGGACAAACAAGGCAGAAGTGTGCATTTTGGGCCACCATGTGTCCGTCCCACAGTGCCTTCCAAGGATCTTGCCTCAGCCCAGCGGGATGTTCCTTTGCTTCTAGTAGTTTCTAGCTTCTAGTAGAAAAGCCAGGAGCTACTAGTAGTTACTAGTAGCTTCTTGCTCCTAGTATCGATGCCTTTTGTCTTGGTATAAAGCTTTTAAAATTAGCAGTTGCCAGTTATGCGATGGGCTTCCAAGACAAAGCGGTTGTGATGCCGGGTGCGAGGACATGTGCATCTTGGAACTCTGATTGTATCATTCTAGATACTTGGAGTTATCGTTCTCCCTCACATGCAGACTTCATCGAACTCCCGGGTGCTTTCTGGGCTCACCCTTCAAACATGGCTTTGCCAACCTCTTGATTGAAGCAGGTCCCCCATCTCCCAAGCCGCAACCGACTGGATGCTGCCATCGCCACGGAGCACACGTGGCCTCGCCCAAGCGCCGCGGCAACCAGGGGCCTCCGAAGCCGGCAGCAGTCAAATGGCCACTGTCCTAAGAATCAGCAGCGGTTTGACGCGGACTGAAGTGAATTAAGTTTCAATGTGCCTTGACTTGTCAGAAAAATGCTCATTTGGTGAAGCTTCCCTAGACAAAAATGGTCCGGGCGATGGTTTTTGGTGGTTCTTGATGATTGAATGTGCACTGTTTGGAATTGCTGCGGGCTTGCTACTACGCGACATGATGGAAGTTCAGGGAAGCAAGAACAGTTTTGGGGTCAAGCCGGTCCTTGCTCCGCATTGGCTGCCCACTGCCACTGACATCAGGGCTCAGCCCAATCTCATCGAGGCGATCTTCATCAGAGCAGACCCTGGAATTGAATTCTTGAGGCAACGCCACGAGATTTTACCGTATCTCTCTTGTATATCTTGTATCTCCTCGACTCTAAACTTCACAAGCAACTCAACAATCTATGACATCAAAAGCCCGCTCAGCTCGAATGAACCAGCTGGAGCTGGGCTCATTTTCCCCCCATGGTCCCAACATAAAACGAACTTAATGATTCGGAGGGAGCGACACACATCCTCAACACATTCATTGGGAAACTCTGCTGACCCAACCGATCGCCGTTTTCTCCGTTCGTTCGTCGCCTGGGCTGCGCTTCCGCCTCCCTGAGCGCATCATAGGCCTCGCCCAAGCGCTCCAGCGCCGCACCAAGCGCCGGACAGCCCCCGCCTCCGGGGCCCGGGCGGCGAGTGCCGCGGCTGTGGTGCTGCAAACGGTTCTGCAGCACGTGGAGCCGCAGCTGAAGCTCTTCCTGGAGCGGGGGAAGCTTTTTCTTCCACTTTGGAGGAGGCAGACGGCTGGCAAGCGAAGGTGGGTGCGTTGGTGCAGGGGTGGACTTCTTGTCAGCAAATTCTCATACGTCTCAAGATGTACATAGGGTACACATTCTGGCCCCATGAAGGTCACTTCCATCTTCGCGCACGAGTTTCCTCCTCCGAACAGGCTGCCGGCTCGGGAGGTGTCCCCTCGAACAGCGAGAAGGATGCCCTCATGCGCCATGTGGCCCGCGGCGTGCGTAAGGCGGGCAGGCGCGACCAAAGGAAGCTGACAACTAACATGTTTGGACCACCTAAGGCCACCCATATACAACCCAGCGCCTCACCCAAGGTCCATGAAAGCTCTTGGACGGCTCCTAGACACCTGTCAGCCAGGCCTGTCGATTCGACCAATCCACTTCTATGTGCCTCCGCACCCACTACATCCACTACAGTATCTAAGCATCTGACCTGGAGAAGACAGACAATATTGAATCCGACCAAACTGACATCTTGCGTCTCATGTTGAGAAGTCAATAACTTGGGAATGGCGGCCGAACGACTTTGATTGGCACATGCAGTCCAAAGCTTTGGCATTGCGCGGCTACTGGTGAGCAATGTTCAAGCCTCTGTACGACTATACGTGTGCGTCTCCGCCACTCTACCCACAAGAAACTCCCTCCTCCAAGACAAGGCAGCTTGCCAACGGGTCAACAGTCAAATGCACCGTGAACACTTTGCCTAAAATGCAAAAAGATTGTTTCAGTTCCTCAAGCTGTGATCAATGTCTATGACTCCGATCCCATGAGCTTCTGACACGCCACTGATGCTCTTTCGCACGCTCAGCGCCCGGTCGATGAAGTCTGGCCGCGTTCGCGCTTACGATTGTGACTCATGGGAAGTGGGCAAGAATGCAAAGGATCTGAGCATCAGGATGAGGAGACACTGCATCCTGCAGCCACTGGATGTGTTCTCTTCCTATGGATCTTTGGAGGGTCCCCTTGCTCCGATACACACCCATCTGATTGGATCGAAAGATCAGCGACTGTGGTGTGATGAGGCTGACCACATATTTTTTAAAGTGCTCACCCATGCATGGTGAGAATTCTCTCCGCTACAGGCTATTGCTTCTGCTAGCCAGCAAGGTTAACCTGGACAAAACTCAATCGCACCAGCATCCTAACCTAAAGTAAATTAAGGGCAAGCTGTGGCAAGCTGATTTGCTAGATTGGAACTGGACAAACTTGACAGGTTCTCGGGAACTGAGCAACACCCAGCCCACCCAAATCTGTGCAATCCCAACTGATCAGGAAGGTGGGAACTTCCAGCAATCTCAGTGTGTGACCTCGTGCCACATGGCAGCTGTGGCAAGCCAAGCGGGTCAAATCATTCGACATGTCAATGCTGTGCAGTTCCAAGATAGCGATGCCAAGAGCCATGAAACACGACCTTCCATCCTCCAAGCATTTAGCTCCACGCCCGTCGGGGCGGTGTCGAAAATCACCAGGTCAAAGCCTTTGTCAAGTGCTCGCTCGATCCCCCGTGCAAGGGTTGAATGGACAGCCCATTGGTACCAAACCCTGAAGCGTCCTTTGCTCCTAGTAGCTTCTTGCTCCTAGTGGTACGGCCAGGAGCCCCTAGTAGCGTCCTTGCTCCTAGTAGCGATGCCAGGAGCCCCTAGCAGCGTCCTCCATGCTCAATCCATTGGCCCCTTTCATCTGGCCTTCGGTCTCAGTGATGGCCTTGGCGATGGCCGCGATCTCGTCCACTCCGGGCGGGGGGGACCTCGGCCCATCGGACGGCGGTGGAGCTCCGCCGGTGCTTTTTGAAGGATGTGAGAGGTCGTTAACTGATAACTGATGATAGGTAGTTAACTCAGTTCATGATGACAAAGACCCTCTCTCTCTTTCTCCAGCTGTGGATAATAGAGATGGTCACGTGTTCCTTTCGTTTGATTCTATTTACCCACATATAAGTGAAAACCTCACAACGGTGGACAAGGCTTTTACCGCTTGCTATTTCAAGTGCATCTCCCCTCAGAATCTGTTTTGATGATTTTTTGTTCTACCATGTTCTACCTGCTGCTTCTGCGGCTTCTGCTTTTGGCCTTTCTTGGCTCTTGGCTTCTTGGCTTTTGGCTCTCTCTGCTACCCCGGTCATTGGATTTTGATGCGGCTAGGTGTTGATAACTTCTTTCTTTGTTGTACACCAGCATCAACCCCAAACAGCAGCGGCAGCCTGATGCCCCTCTTGACGATCGTTTTGCCGGCATCTCCATGGGAACCAAAGGGGAGAACAAAATGCAAGAACTAACATTGCAGCCTTTATTAGGCGAGGTAGATAGCTGGATCTCAATGCAACCAGCGGATGAGACCGTCATTTTTGGAGCCTTAGAACGCTCACCGCAGCTCCAGCCGCGGTCGAACTGGTCAGCGACGACTCTAGTGACTTTGCACCGCATTCCTTTGGAGGCTTCGTGCCAGCGTGCGTTCACTTCACATCACTTCACCATATCTCAAGGGTGTCCACGGGTCGTCTCAAGCAAGAACACCTCTGAGACTAGACTTGTTGCAGTCATACACTAGTTCCAAGCCTTTAAACTCTCAGCAGAAAGGCTCGTTTTGACCCACAAGCCACCCAAAAGGCACACAGCCCGTCTCACAGCAAACCCTCCACGTGGAGCATTGAATGGGCAGTGCGTAGATATCGCGCCATGCGCGAGCGGATCTCATGCAGCGGGACGATGGTGAAGAAGTGCGAGGCCGTCAACAAACGCACCTGGCGATGAGAGACCTGGCAAGGTCAACCAAGAAGTCACTTGGGTCGAATCATGGGAGATCTCCATCGATTCATTGCAAACACTGACGGATCCGGAAAAGGGAGATGTTTGGATTTCGGGACCTCCGGATACAACTCCTTCACCTCCTCCCAGAAGGCAGCCCTCAAGCTGTCAAAGGTCTCGGAAGCTGGCTCATCCAGGGTCTGATCCTTCGATCAGCGGGCAAAACATCCACATTCACCTACAGTAATGTAGACTGTCGATTGCTAACCACCCCCCCATTTGGATTGTAGAGCCTCTCCATCTGGCCATTCAAGAGGTGTTCATCAACCATCTACACCCAACGAGCAAGTCTATAACACACCTGTGTGCGTGTGCAAAGGCTCCAAAAGCATGAAGTCGTAACCACAGAGACTCTGGAAGACCTTGCTCAGGTCATAGTGTACATCCCCTTGTGTGGTGATGACCTTCCCCAGCTGTCCCCGCATATCGATCATCATGATCTGATCATCGTTGGTCCGAATGACGTTGGAGAACACCTGGCCGCCAGGCCCACACCGGGCCCGAGAGATAAAGCATCTCTCAAACGGCCAGCCCAGCATGAAGGGAAAGGAAGGAAAGCGTTGAAAGTATATAAGCATCAAAACCCTGGAGGAAACCTCGCAGTTTGGTGCTCTGCTACCCCAAAACAAAGCGCATTTCAGCCAAAGCAGCAGGGTCGCCATGGATATAATGCGCATGAACAGCCCTTTCAGAAGATTCGAAATCTTCCAGAAAGCGGATCAAGACATCTGCCATTTGCCGTGTGTTGATGCCCAACTCTTCTGCCAGGGAATCCTTAGTGAGTGGTGAGGACTGTGGCAAGGGCCATGGTGACCATGGTGTAACTGCCGATGAACTTTGTGAATCGATGTCATTTCCGGGTCCAGAACCGAGGAGCGTAAAGCGCGATGTGGTCCAAGGCCCTCTTCTTCACCTGTCTGCATGGATGCGCCGCTTGTCTGGGTACCGTCACAGATCCAAGAGAGCCGAGGCCGAGACAGGGGAGGGAATGTTGGGCTGGGGCGTTGACATATATGAGTCCACAAGACTAAATGAAGCAAAGCTGCACAAGCAAGCCGCTTGGATCAACGCCCTCCCAGGTATTCTGCACAGGAGGTTTGCCGACCAACCAACCAAGCAATGCTTTGGCGTCTGCAGGAATAAAAACACCAAAAATGCCTTTGAACATGGTTGAACCACACACACACACACACACACGCGCGCGCGCATATATATATAGTATACAGTATACACATGTATTTTATGCCATACCCAACATTCAGCTGACTTCCACTTCCCTCTGCCTTGGGGCCATAGTTGGAGCAAAGCTGTGCATTGCTGACCCTGGCCTCTCGCGCCGCCTGAGACGAACCGAAACCGATTCGTCCTGTCCGTGGTCGTCGGTCCCGGTGAGGTGAGCACAAAAGTTCTGACGTTGCGAGCCTGTCCTATCTCCTATCTCGGCAGAGCCGCGGTCTTGGATGTCAGAAAGGGAAGTCATGAGAGGTCTTGCTCTCAGTCCGTTCCATCCAAGATAAGTGTAGCACCTGCGAGTCTTCGGGCGGCTGTTGGACGTGAATCTTCCGCAGCGTGCGCACCAGTCTCCGAAGCCACTCGGGCATCAGCAAGCGGGCGGTAACCAGGTGAGAAAAGGTCACACCAACCACCTGCGAAGCAACGAATGTGATGTGAGACAGCGGGAGACATCAGAAAACAGCATGTCATCAAACAATGTTTGAGAACTTGAAAAGAGAACTACCGCATTCCTGTAGTCAATACCGGCCAATATGACTTGCCAAGAGACCTGAAGAATGCTCACAAGACTCACAAGTGTTGTCTGGCAAAGGGAAGGCGTAGGAAGAATGGTCACACTCCCCAACCCCACCTTGGACATGGTGATGGTGGACAGGGAGCTGTCTTTGGAAGCATCACCTTCCTGAATATCTACAGCTTGAGGAAAGTGACACGCCAGCTCGGGCGGTATGCTTCGATACCAATGACCTAGGGGTACCACGTGAAAAACGATGTCACTCGACAACGAAAAGCCATGCAAAAGGAGCCTTTCAATATTTTCAATCCGCAAATCCTGAGGCTTTATGTGTTGCCCTCTGTCACGCTCATTGAGCTCGATTTGACAAGTCACACTCTCCCTTTAGAACATCGGGTGAGGAAGACTTGATCACCAAGCTCTTCCCCGAGGAACGCACCGTGTTGAAGGAACGTGCATCGATGGCACCTTCCAACATTTGGCCATCCATTTGCCCGACATACCAGCCCAGCTCACGGCTCAAGTCCCCCTGAGAGTTGATGGCGTGTGCATCTACTGTGATGTCAGCATATGGCTTGCCGAAGTGCAACCTCAGCTCAGAAATTCACGGCAAAATTATCCTCTTCACTCCTACCTGGATTGTGAGTTTTGACGAACTGCGTTCCGGATCGTCGCTGTCAAATTCATGTTCAAGCTTCACTCAACTGAAGATGCTGACAACAAAACATGCGCACAGAGTCACTGAGTCAGTTTCAGACATGTGGCTCATCATATGGGATGTCTAGCTGCTTCAGCAACTGAAAGGTATCATGGCCTTGCTCTGCAATGGCCCGATCCGCGCCGCCTCCCATCGCCATGCCACGGCCTGGGCGGACCAGATGTGGACCTTCCACGACTGAGCAAGCCTCGCAGTGATGGCGAGGCTTGCCCCACTGGCTCCACCAGTGCCCAGCCGGTGCCCCCCGCGCGAGAGCGCACCACTCACCGAGGGTCTGGTCGTGATGATGATGGTGTGGCCCGACCTGCTCAGCTGACGAACCAGCTCGACGGCCGCCGGAATGGGATCCACTTGTCCAGCTTCGTTGGGGTGGACCAAAGTGCTGTCCAGGTCGAAGCAAAAGCGCATCTTTCGAGTGACCTAGCCGAGCGCTAGCTGCTCAAGCAAACGCTCCGCAAAAAGACGTTCCAGAAGGACACGTTCATTCAACTACTATACCATGCCAGCAGTTCTTCAAATGCCAAGTTGTGTTCCCGTACATGACATGTCCACATCACATTGGTGCCAAGGATAGCTCAACTAACATCTTTGCCTTTAGCCAAGACTATGTGTGATGCTGTTTCTGTTGAATGTCGAGGAAGCCATTGACCTGTGGCCTCTGCAAGTCTTTTGCCAAGGCACTGGCACTTGGCCGCTCGAGACCCTTCGCACAAAATCATCCAGCTGGGGCGGTGTTGAGACCAAGGCCACGTCTTGGCAGCTGACAGGAATGCCAAAAAAGTCCTGCCAGCAAATCCGACTCGAAAAGCAGTTCTCGCATATTACTTTGACAAGTGAAGTACAAACGACAAGCTGCTGCTCTGAAAGACTCTTGCGGTCCTCACCCCGAGACATCATCCAATTCATAAGACTGGAGGCATAGAGACCACCTTTGCCTGCCTGACAATGTCAACCCAAAACTGCGGGAGAAGGCCCAACCGTGGCCCCAGAACCTGAAGGAACCTTTTTGGGATCACCTTCTTTTGGGAGCACCCCAAAAAGTTGTCCTGTCTTTTACAACAAGTGTTGAATTACGGTAGCTGTTAGATTCAGGCAGTATGCACCTCTCAACGCAAAAGGACCACAGTCACAGGGCATCCCACCTCTTCAGGGCATTCCAGCAGGGCCTCCGCAGCCACTCGAAAGTCCACTGCACTGCTGAAAATGTAGGTGCCACAGTTCGCCAGTGAGGAGATGACCGATCTCAGTCCACCAGTGGACGCACAACCCCTCTGAACAGCCCGGGATAAAGGTGTGGCACTCAGCTGGTGTTGGCTTTTGGTCATGTGAATGGAACTAAAGTTGATGCCCCCATACAAGACTTTGGGACGTGAAAATGGTCCTCGCCGGGCGGCTTTTCTTTCACTTCGAGTATCTTGCCATCATCTGCAAGCTTCAAATAGGAAAAGTTGGCTCGCTGCAGGCCTGTCACAGGAGTGGCTATGCAAAGACTCACACACACTTATCTATCTAAGCTTATCTAAATCAAACGGCTTGTCCACCAAACACAGAGCTAGCTGACGGCATATTGGCGCTGGGGCACAAAGGTGCGAGGAATTGTTAGCCTGAACTGCGATGGGAACCAACGCAAGTTCCTTCAACTCCATCCCCGCCTGTGCCCGTCACAGGTGCCTGCCCTAGATCCACGTACACTGAGGCATGCCGCGCTTCGCTGCACCGGCAGAGGTGCAAAAGGTCAACCTGAGGACCAGTGCGATCGGTCGACCTGGGGAGTGAACCCGAATGATGGTCCATCCACCCAGGTTTGCGCGGCCAGCGTGGTTAGATACCTCTCTTGACCTTGGGCAACCACAAAACTCATCAAAACTCGGCCAAGCTGGAAGCGGAACAAACTAACTACAGTACATACTATATACAGTGTGTATATATATATATGCATGTATACTGTATATCATATATATTACAATGCCATTAAATAACTATCAATGGGCGGCCAAGCAGTTTGGGTCACCATGCCTCTCCAGGCTATCAATGGAAGCGGAATCCTGCGCACAAGTTTTGCAAAGCTGCCCCCGGAAGCCTACACCACATACATGGTGGTCACTACCATGCTTTTACCGCCTGCAATGAGTCGACGTTGCTAAGCCTGCACCACAGCAGGGCACGTTGGGCTGTGTGACGCGTTTCCATCTAGAAGCCTGCGAAGTTGGAGCATGTTGCAGTGGCTTTGCTTTGGACACGGCTGCTGGTGTCTCATCGTCATCCAGGTGGCTCCAGGAGGTAGTTATAAAATAATCAGAAGAGAGTTGTCCAGAGGCACTTGAGTTGATGAATCTTGACAGGTGCTTAAAGTGCACTCAGTTGGAAGCAAATCAACAGAATGCTAGTACTGTATGTTTTGTAAACACGTGGCTGTGTATCAAAGGCCAGGAGACCTTGGTTGACCAACCAGCGAAGGTCAAGCTACATGGTGGACCAGGGCTTTTTTAACCATCCCCAGCTGTCGCCAACTCACCCAATCAGACTTGAATCCTCACATTCTTTGCTTGGCTCCAGCCACAAGGGGGGCACAGCTCTGGACTGCAGCATCTTCGTTCTTATGGGTTTCTCATCCCCCCGGATGCAGAGTCTTGACACCTGCACTCCTCAAATGATCCAAGTGCGATCAAGCAGCTCCATGATAGATGCTACTACTGTCCAGCGTCACCAAGCGATTTCGGCTCTCCTGGCATCTCTAATGTTCCAAGGTTAGGTCACGAGGGACGCAGGCTTTAATCGAACAAGGCAGCCTCCCCACAAAGATGGCAAGCAGGCAGTAGTTCCCTGATTAGCCCACCATCCAAAAATCATGCAGTTGTTAGACCAAAGCCAGAGTGTGGGCCCGCAAAATTGGCTGGGCCTTTTTCTCCAAGCCTTCCCTCCACTCAAGCCAGTCAGCGAACATCTCCTTGGCATTCATCTGCCTCGCCACGGAGAGGACCGTTTCCAACCAGCCCCTGGTTTCAAATGGAAGCACCACGATCTTCACTTTGACCTCGCCGACGACAGGGGCTCCCGAGCGACGGGACCACAACAGCGGAAGAACGAGGCCGGCCAGGAGCCCCTAGTAGCGTCCTTGCTCCTAGTAGCGTTCTTGCTCCGTTACGAATGACCTTTGGGCTCTTGGATGCCATATACACCAGTTTCCCCCCTTTTCAGCAGTTTGCCCAGGTAAGAGCCAGTCAGGTTTCTAACTTGGGGCGGCGCCCCGCACCACTCAGGTTGAAAATCGATCATCTCATCCCCACAAGACCGATCAACATACACAAGGATAAAAAAGGGTTGCAGAACAATCCAAGCCCTCAATTCTTGAGCAGCCTGGGGAAGCATACGCGCCAACATCTTCTGGACGTCATACTGTTTCAGAATGGGCGCGGGCACCTTAGCTGCAGCAACCACCTGTGGTGGCAAAATCACTGCGAGGCATTGACTTAGTTGCCACGCTGGGTCTTCAAGTGCAGATTACAGTTTACATGCTGCAAGCCACAAAGGAAAGCCTCCTTCCAACACCTTGGACAACATGCCCTCCTGCTTTGGGCTGCTGCTGGCACAATGCAAGCCACTCAGATTGAAAAGATCTCACTATATAGGGCCTCTCTTTCTCTCTCTCTCTCTCTCTATATCTCTCTCAAGTGTACACATGATATATATATATATAGCTACATAATTGTGCCAGCAGGATGGCTCAGGCACGGCCAAAAAAAATAGAGTCTTCCTTGGTGATGCCAAGGTGGTCCAAGACCCACAAAAGCACCGGTCTACCCACAATGTTAACCTTGGTCACTGCAGAGCTCAGTTGACAATAGCAAAGGAGTGTGCATCATACTACATCTGAGTTCACCAGGAAGTAGACTTGAACTGTAGGTATGGTCATTGGACATCCCGTTCCTCTGCCAAGGAGCCAGGGGCTTTGGCATTCTAAAGCCAGCCTCTGCAAACTCAGAGCCGGAGCCACCCATCGGAATGATCACCGACAATGGCTGCCCCTGATTCTCCACGGGCCTGTCACGGTCCGTGACTCAAAGGTCAGCGGCCTGTCACCCCTTCACCCGTGTCTCGGCGGCTATAAATACCCATGAAGCCGTTATGAATCCTTGATAAAGGTTCATTGAATGCTCCCTTTGTTGGAGAATCACGCCTTTGCACATTGGGATTCGTGGACTCGAATTCTTCGTGACTTGAACATCATCCCAGCCAGACCTGACCCCGCTGGGCGAATTCTGCTGCGTGAGCGCTCTGAGGCGCCGCTTCATCTCGAAGAGCTCCGCCTCCTGGCAGTGTTGTCCGCGTGATTGAGCAGGAGCCAGGTGCCAAAGGCCAAAGCATGATACAGAAATGCCTAGAACCTGAGTGGCCCAAGCTTTTCGACCACCAACCTCCTGAAACATGGTCTGTATCATGAGAGCCTAGTCCGGTTTCATCCGGTTTCTAAGGAAAAGGGATTCAAATGTGAAACATCGGGGCCTCACCAGCAGAGTCTCCTTGCTCCGCACCTGTGCCTGCAAAGCCACGACCTCCGGCCATGAAGTGCCTTCATTCTGCAGGCTCGGTGGCGCCACGCGCGCCATGGCACGGCGGCTGAGATACACCACTGGACCAACTTTCAGTTGACCTTCTGGACATATCTCAGGTGTTCTACCGCTGCAGCTGTTGCCTGGACCTGCTTCTGGGAAAAGAAGGGGCTGTCTATCCCGTTGCTTGAAGAAATTTCAGTGATGAGGTTAGAGCCGGATTCGGAAACTAATCGGTCGGATTCTGAAACTAGGGTTCTGAAACTGGGGTTCTGAAACTAGGGTTCTGAAACTTGGATTCTGAAACTGGTATTCTGAAACTGGGGTTCTGAAACTAGGATTCTGAAACTGGGGTTCTGAAACTAGGAGTCTGAAACTGGGATTCTGAAACTTGTATTCTGAAACTGGAAAGTCAGATTCTGCAACTGGTATTCTGAAACTGGAAAGTCAGATTCTGCAACTGGTATTCTGAAACTGGAAAGTCAGATTCTGCAACTTGCCTTCTGAAACTTGCAACTGGTGATCTCCACATCATGCGATAGCGTGTGTGCCTGTGACATCACCTTCGAAGCACATCCAAACCAACGTCATTAGCCCCCCACCCAACCCCCCCACCCCCCAACCCCCCCTTGTCCCCATCGTGTGATCTCGACATTCCTCATCATTCACAAAGTTGTGGAATCCTAGGGAGGGAGTCCACAATGTTGCGGAATCCTAGTTGCGGAACGCCAGTTGCGGAATCTCAGTTGCCGAATCCTAGTTGCGGAATCCTAGTTGCGGAATCTTGACAGTTGCGGAATCCTAGTTTCGGAATCCTAGTTGCGGAATCCTAGTTGCGCAACTCTAGTTGCGGAATCCTAGTTGCGGAATCCTAGTTTCGGAATCCCAGTTGCAGAATCCCAGTTGCGGAATCCGACCAAACAGTTGCGGAATCCTAGTTGCGGAATCCTGCGCAGTTGCGGAACTCGACTTTATCCCAGTGATGATCAAAAGAGGCCAATTGGATCGGATGCTGCTTCTTTGCTTGCAGCATGATGCAGCTGCACTACCGCCACTCTCCTGCATGCTCAAGTCTGCACTGTGAACACGAGCTTCTGGGAAGGTCACATCCTTCTTGAACATTCAGGACCCGCAAATGTTCCTTCCACCCGACGGATGAAAACCAGTGGGTGCCACTCCACATATATGTTCGGTTTTGATTGGTCCAACCTCCTCCTCCTTTGGGCCTACCAAGCCCACCAAACGACCAACCTACCGAGCCACACACACACAGACCATCCCAGAATGGTCGAAACACTTCCCGTCAGATTAGCTCCACACTCCAATAGCTCTGAAAGCTCCGTCAAGCCCAAGGACGCGGTGGTACCACCGGGCCTGAAGCTTCGGAGAACGTAGGTGCCAAGGCTGGGAATGATGCCACAAACTGCGGCAGGAGCGGAACTAGTGAATAGAGTAAAGCCCATCGAGCGAAGGGAGTTCAGCACACACATATGGACCCAACAGGTTCTTGACCCAACCCGTCCAACTCTAAGGGCCCAGCAAGCCCAAGGAATCTAACCTCGACACGAAAAGCATGGTGGACCAATTGTGGATGTTTTGGTCGTGTACGTCTCATGTGGCTCAGGTGTGATTCAAGGAAGGGTGGAGGCCATCGCTATCAGGTTGGAGGCCATCAGAAACAAACAACGACTTAAAATAGATGACATGTCGAGGTTGAGAGGGCAATGGTTGTTGCAGGCCTGGCAAGTCGTCTTGGACATGATCCCAATCTTCCGGGCTAAGGCTGGGGCAATGCTTTGGCATCCAACATCTGAGTGAAAAAATGTGGCAGGTCAAAGTGAATTTTCTTGTGGGATTCTCGTTGCACTAGGAGTAGGGGAGATCTGAGAAAGCCTCTCAAGCCAGTTCTGTGTTCCTTCCCCACCTTGAGGCTTTCCCTCAGCTCCTCAAGCGCCTCCTCCGGATCGACCTGCCCCAGTTGGACTCAAAACCATGTCGAAGATGCACCCTGAGTCTGAATCACAACGTGTTGACCCCAAACCGCTATGCACTTCTGCATGTAGCAACGAACTACAAAATACATAAAGGCACTTAAACTACGACATGGAACATGTGCCGCATCTACACACAGTGTAGTGTCCTCCATAGCGAAGAGGTTGTCCGCCTCAGCACGTGGTGCCAGTGGTTCAACTGCTACCCAATAGTCTCAGGTCAAGGCCACGCCTACAACAGGCGACTCATGTTCTGTGTATATATCTCCCCTTGCTTCTGGCAACCTCCATGTAGAAGTTAATTGATCCGTACCTCTCCAATTGCCACCCAGCTGCCACTTGTCTGGGCCTCCCATTCAACTGCTCGGCCAAGGCATCGCCGAGTGAATGTGCGGGATCCGTGGAGATGATCAACACCTCAGGAATCAGAAGTTGGACTCGTTGGCTTCTTTGCGACGGAACTGAGCCAAAACGGAACAGCCGGACTCTCTGGGTATACCTTGTTCTCTCTGCCTTTTGCTCTCGTATGAGATTTGTTACTTCAGTCTGCCCTTCCAAGAACTGCAAGCCAGGGGTCCTTCTTTCCCTCTGCTGCAGATGCTGCAGCAAAAGATGAAGAAGAGGAGGTTTTGCCTCCCAGTGGCCGCTTTCACGCTGCGGGTTCTCTGTCCACATCCTTCAAATACCCAGCACGGCCCAGTGTTGAGGCACACCCCGGCCTACACCGCCCTTCCCACCGAAGAAGACGATTTGCTGACCTGGTTGGCCAACCTTGGCTCGAAGGGAAAACATAACTCACCTTCTTGAGGGATCTACAATATAGGAGAAAACTAAACGTGTGGAATCAAAAGAATGGTGTTAATGATCTGTAATAGCCTCCGAGCATGTGTGGTAATAAAGGGCTTATAGTGACGCTTGAGTCGACGTGAGGTCTTAAAGCCGCAGTCCTTGGATGTTCTGGCCTCTCTCACTTGATCTTTTTTTGAGAATGTGCCGTCCTGCTTTGCAACAACAACCTGTTGGGGGCTGGCTCTGTCCCAAAACGGAGCCACGGACAAACTCTTGACTTGTGGAAGCACGTGCGCCCTGATTGAGGTTTGTCAATCGGATGAGGTTCGAGATTCATGATGATTCTGATGTGGCATTTCTCAAACATGGACGCAATCACTTGAATCACTTTCTCTCCTTCCAAGGGGCCAAGGCCGCCTCCGCCTGGCGGACCACGCGAGAACGCAGCGGCGGTGCGCTGAAGCGGGCCTGCGGCGCCAGCGCACAAACTGGGCGCTGGGCCATGATGCGCCACGATGGGCCGGGATCTCTTAAAGCATTAAGACAGCCGTTCTCTGAAACGCTTTATGTAATGCTATGTTGGCCATGCTGACCGTTTTGAAGTGTCAAAGATTATATATATTTGGTAGAAAGACTGTAGCTGACTAGGCAGGCCTTCTGCGCGCGACGGCGCTGTGCAGTCCACTGGGCAGCCTTGGTGAGCAGTTAAAGTTGGCCAAGAATGTGTGAGGCCGTCCAAAATCTCCAAAGCCCGACATGACTGGCCCTGCTGAAGAAACCACTACTTGGAATGGACCTGCTGAGAATTGCCCTCTTCTTTTCACCTCATGTTCGCATGCCCAAGGGGACCACAGGCGACCACAAGTCTCACGAACCATCCCTTTAGGGCCCACACAGCTGTCGCCAACACCAGAGCACCCACCTTGGAGTCGCACCAGGGTGGCCTGATGCCAGGGGCGCATGAGCGATCTTCCGTCTCGACGGTGAAAAAGCCTGGCCTAGAGAAGCTAGAGGCTGAAGCGTGGCTGGGCTCAGATCCTTGGCTCACCACAAGTGATCACAAGTGTCTTCGATGTATAGAGCGACATCCTCCAGGAGAGTTTGGAACTAAAAAGGGGCAAAACAGCTCATCCTCATGGCAAGTCGAGACATTTGTCTTGCTGTCAGATGGAGTCTGCGGGCTTCTTGGCCAAACCCCAGGTTCAGCTGAAGAGTAGAGTTGTTTGTGTCACTCACCATCAATCCAAATCGAATTGGAAAGGCTCAACAATCTGAATCGCTGTCAGTCCCACCCACACGAGTGCCACCAAATCGCCGACTGCGCTCGCTACTCGTCCAGCAGTTGGCCGTGCTAGGCCAGAGGCCTGGGCCCGAGGATCAAGAGCAGATCATCGGAATTACCGTCCATTCACTTGATGCTTTCAGACTTGTTCTGCAGGCTCTCCACCCCCTGCCCAATACCTGACCTGCACATGTCTTCATGCGGGGTTGTGCTTTTCTCTTGGAAAAAATGGAATGCGCGTCTTTCAGGCGCCCCAAGATGGTAATCGCCAAGAGTGAACCCTGCATGCGAGTCCTGAGTCCTGAGCTCCACTGCTGCCTGAGGTGTCACAACCGTCGCGGCAGAACCCCGACGAGGCGACGACGACCGCACTTGCGTGGACCCATCTCCTACTAAAGCACACCGCCTGCGGTAAACAAATTCGTCAAGCCGCAACAACAGCAAAACAGGAGTGGAATGGTCTCCAAGTGGAGGTGCGGAATGGCACGGCATGATGTTACGGAACAATCACAGCTTCCCAATCTCAAGTCATTCTCCGCAAGCCCGTGTCACCAACCAGGGACTGGCCTTCCAAGAAGGGCAACGCAAAGCTGCTCCCCATCATGGCCGTGGGGCAAGCTTGGCTCCGAAGCGCCGACCGTGCGCACTGACCGTGCTCCTAAAGCCACCGCCGCGCGTGCTGTTGTGACGCAAAGCAGTCCACAATTGGGTTACCTTTGGTTGCTGAACTCCACCCTCCAATTCGGTCATGGGGGTTGGAGGGTCTTGATCCCATTGTTTTGGACAAGGTCCCGGAGGGCAGTCAGTAAGAGTGAGGCCAGAAGGAATGACACCGGAACGACACTTAAAAAGGCAACCTAATGGCAACCCTCCTGCAAGAAAAGCTGACACTTTTGCAAATACGGCCCAGCTTTGGTCTGGCTACTGGGCAACGCCATGGGGTGAGACAAACGATCGTCCAAGCTGTTCAGCTGAGCTTCCAAGCTATTTCAGCCGTACAGAACCCCCGAAAGGGGACTCTCGGCGCAGCTGCCACCTGTGGACTCCTAGATTCTGGGGGTCACCGAGTGCAGAAAAAATCAATACATCAGCCAAACAATCTGACGATCAAATCAAAAGATCCCAAAAAATCCCCCTGCGCCCTCCACGGAAAATCGCTGCACTCGTTGCCCTCACCGCGACAGGTGTAAATCTCTGTTCGGAGGCGTCGCTGCCTCGCAGTCGCATCAAGTTGTGCCTGGTTTTTTGCCTGGGGCACAAGCCGCTGTGATCGATCCCAAAGATGCAAAGGCGAAGCTGGGCCGGCATGCCGAACTCTCCATGCATCATAACAAACTGGTTCGATTCACTGCCAGGTGCATGATACATACGTCATGCATCGCGTCAATTGTTCATTGATTGGGTGGTTGACAAACGGCCCTTGCGGCACAGACTCGCATGTAACATCTCTGTCTTCTTTTGATTTGCCCACGTATGGCTCAGGAAAATACTAAGGATAAAACTACTTCCGTTAAAGTTGCTAGCCCAACGCACTTCTGCTCCTGCCAGTGTCTCGGAACAAGGGGATGTTCTGTTGTTTAAACATTGATAACATCTATTGTTGGATATAACTTTGATGGGCTCACTCTAACGGGCTTGCAAAATCACACCAAGAGTGTCACCCACCCCTCAGCTTTTCCTCATCATCTGCACAAACCTCAGCCAACATGTTGCACGCCGCACGCCGCACATGCTCTTTCCTTCAAGTCTATGGAGGCAAATCGGAACGTCCCAACATCAAAAGCCTTGAAGTGCGACACTCAGGTGATGGATGGGTGACAATGGAATTGATGGCCTAACTCTCCCACATGGATAGTTTGACCCAAAGGGATCATGAGGCATGTACCACTATCGTTTGAACTTGATGCATGAACTTGTCAAGCCAGAGATAGCCAAAGATTTTGAATTCGGGCTTTTGCTGTCAGGGAAACTCTCTGCCACACACATACTAGACGCGTAAATAGCGGTCGGACTGAATTCCACTAGTAACTTAGTACTCATGTACGTCTTCCATCTGAGTCGTGGCACAGGAGTCAGACTGAGGCATAAGCTCGTCAAACTCGATCTCACCAGAGCCGTCCACGTCGATCTCTTTCATGATCTCTTCAACCTTTACAAACACATAGACACATAGAGGATAGGGCGACACACAAAGAATACAAAAGAAAGTCACAGCACTTTCAAGAACTCCACCTGAGGAATAATAAAAAAGCTAGGTGAGACTGACTGGAGAAGCCGCACCAACCAGCAACAAAATGTCCAACACCCCTCTTTCCGCCAGGTGGCTGATTGCTTTCCTGGTATGAGATCACCGACACCTTGGTTCTGACGCCAGTCTCCACACTGGGAAACGTGGGGAACCGCAGCGGCTGGTGTTGCTTCCAAATGTGCCCAAACGCAGCACTAAGGAGGCAGCTATTGTCTTGCAGCACGTGTCTCAGCTCATCCATACAGATCTTCCCTGAGCACAGGAATCCCACAATCAGACCTCTGATCTGACCCTCCACCCCGCGCCCACAAAAAAAAAGGTTGTTTCACTTTCTGATCACAACCTCTCCCTCCCTGAGGTGCCCCCACCATCGCCATTCCGGTCAAAGACGCAGAATGCTGACCAGAGAGCATCCTCCTGCAGGTAATGCCTCACAGGTCATCACTGCAGAAAGGCACCGGGAAGCAGTAGACCGGTCTCTCGGTTTCTCCCCAGGATGGCCATTGATCTGATCAAAGGAGTGGTCTGGGCAAAAAGAACTATTTATATACACAAGACTGGCGCTTCATGATCTTCATTGGTTTGCATTCGGAATCTCGATGACGGCTACGGAGAAAAAGAACCAGCAACGATCATCGTACAACTCGCCGCTTGAGGACCCTGCGATCCGTTCCCAAAAAGAAACACCTATGTAATCACTGTAACCGCTTTTCGGACATGTTTTTCACTTCTTTGGCGCGCACATCTGTGAAGTGTTGCAAAGGGTCAGACAAAACGGAGGTCCAGCTGGATTCTTCGGCACAGTTGCTACCATTCGTGCACCCTCCAATTCTACACTGCAAAGGAAACATCATACTACAAACACCACAGGCATGCCACAAAAATCGCGCGTTCCCAAATGTTTGACTCTGAGCGGCTTCTTGTCGAGAGTGGCCGCCAAAAACTCCTGGAGAGCGGCCACTTTTCAGAATAGAAAAACCCGACCTTTTCCCGTGCAGCGAGGCTTCTGCCTGACGCAGGCTCCCTCATTCTCCATCTCTAGCGTCCGACCCACCTGACACGACCTGCGCAGCGTCCCCAGCGTCCTTGTATTCAATGCTCCCACTCCTGCGGAGGACGAGTGTGTAATGACACTGAGATCAATAGGAAACTTGAAACAATTGGGAGGATCACATCTGAATCTACAAATTTCGGAGCACTTTGCCTATCACAAAAGTTCACAGAACAAAGGGCACCACAACTCGCAACAAGAGGCACTGCGCTGGACTCAAGTCGGGGTCTCCCATCAAAGTCCACTCCCGCCAAGATATGCTTCCTTAGTAAAATTTGGCTGATCACTGGAGTGCCCTACCTGTGGGCAGCTTGCGTCTAGTGATGAACTTATGATAGACCAGCAGGCGCACACCGTAATTCAATGTATTATATACTGTAAATCAACTACCCCTGGGGGTTCCCCGCGTTATATAGAGACATCGCGCTGGATCTCATGTAAACATGATTTAAACTAGGAGCAAGGACGCTACTAGGGGCTCCTGGCATCGCTACTAGAAGCAAGGACGCTACTAGGGGTTATGGCCTTACTACTAGGAGCAAGGACGCTACCCACTGAGGCTTGTGCAAATCATTGTCCTTCATTCCTGCCGCTTTCAGGCCATCACCTCGGCCATCCATTGCCGTCGTACAGGACCAACAGGAGACAGCAGCTGTCAAGGACAAGTTTGTTTAGTTGGAAAAACCGCTGGGGAAACCACCAGTTGGTACAGGAGCTCGTAGTCCAACGCTTGCCATCTATGTATATATGTATATAATATACTCTTCCATGATTGTTAGGTAGAGGGTGTCTTCAGTCTAGACCGATGTCCAAGTGACCTATGCACTCCCTATTGGGCACGAACTTGTTGGCAACCTTGAGTGCGGCACTGATTTCCTTGATGCTGAGCATGCCATCCCCGTTGCTATCAAGAGCAAGGAACCTCAAACTCAGTACAAGTTGCTGCGAGATTGGGTTCATTGCCAGGTACCTCCTCCCCATGTGACCGGCTTCCGAGTGGGATGAAGCATGTTTACAAATGGTTCGCTGGAAATCAATGTGAGGCTAGACCCTCAACTCTCAAAATGACAAAATTGCAAGTACCTTGCCTGCTTTGCCCTCTGAATTCTAGACTGCATCAAGGCATCTTAGGCTTGGCATATGCAGGTGTTCGATGCTTGAGGGCAACACAATTCCTCCAGCAATGCGCACCGCAATCTGGGGAAATTGAATTGAGGAATCATTAATTGCGAGTGGATCTTAATCAGCGAAGTTTGAAGCTATCACTGACGGTCCATAAGCGGCGTAGCGTCGGAACGGAAACCGCACCTTTTCTAGTCGCTTGATCCTTGAGCCAAAGTACATATGGTACATATATATATGTACAAGTTGCACTGTACGTGTCGCTGCACTTCCATTCGCATTAATAAACATGTCAGCTTTCCAAGCAAGTGGCTTCGTGCCTTTTGCTGGTCATCCCTGCTGCAGAGGGTCTTGTAGTATGACAATACACATAGCTGAGCCATTTGCACCAGTCTCGGGCAGCGTGTTCCCAATTCTTCTCAGGACAACCGAGCAGCTGCTTCCGCAAGTTCTCAATCTTATCTTCGCTCAGCTGAGTCCTGCCAGAGGTCACAGTGGGGCCAGCCAGGTCGCTGCATGACCACCAACTCCTTGCTCATCCCCAAACCCCAGCCTATATTATATATATATATGGGCACACTCCACGAACAATCTCGCATGTATACAGCCAAAGCCATGAAAAGCCCTGATTTGTGGCTGCTGTGCAAGCCTCAATCTACTGTATCCATCCATCTATGCATCCATCCATCCATCCATCAATCCATCCATCCTTCCTTCCTTCCTATCCTATCCTATCCCATCCCATCCTATCCTATCCTCTATCCATCTCTCGTTTCACTGCCCTCATGTTGCCACTTGTCCGTGAGTGGCCGAACAACTACATATGTGACATATGTGATTGCATGATGTCAGCTGTGAATGTTGAAAATCTGACAAAAAGAAATACGCTTCCCGGCGTCACCAACCCCGAAGAGACCAAGGACGAGAATGCCACACTGAGTCGCCCACGCGATGACCTGCAGGGCCATCTTCCTTAGGCAGCTTTGGCTAGAGCCATACAATCCGCAGCTTAAACAGCTTGTCAATCGCAGGAGGGGATCGTGAAAATCACGTCATGGCCATTAGACCGGGAAGCAGGATGTGTGTGTGTGGGGGATTGCTGGGGAGGCCCGCATTTGCTCTGCCGAAACTGTTCTCCTCACTCTGCATCTATCTCACACTCCATCTCCATCTCCATATCTCTCTCTCTCTCATATTCCTCTATCTAACTCCGCTTCGGCAGCCCTTTATGTCACGCACCATGGGCGCCCATGCATGTGCAAGGTCAATCTGGTGCTTGCTCTTCACGAAAGCACAGTCCACCCTTTCAGCCAAGTCTCTTGAACCTGTTGGTAGATCTAAAGTTCTTCAGGTTGCTGACCTGACGGTCACGGTGTCACGTTGCCATGGTAGATCCACAGGTGTCTACAGCGTGAGTTGCTTTTTGGGGGGGTGTTGTTTGTTAACCGACATCCTCCTTGACAGATCTTGACAGATTGTCAAAGCAAGTGGTGCATGCAACTGCTTCAGCTAGTGTCACCAGCTTCACCCAATCTCATGCGACTTCAGCATCACTCTGATGAAGTCGCCCAACGAGTTGGGCCTCAAAAGCCTGAAAATGCTTGTTACAGAGGCGTTAGAGATGGCGTTGGAAAGAGTGCTTTCATCTACAGAAAGACCCTAACAAATGGTAGGGCTGCAATGGCAGGTGCCATGTATGAGGCCACTCTCCAACTTCTCAGGCAATGGGCTGAGGTGGTGTTCAGCGGCTCTTTCCTGGAGTGCGGGGCTTTCTCCTTGATCCAGATGTGGTTCAAGGCCTGACCACGCGACCACCAGGTGTCCACCAACATGACACGGATTGGTGTACACCACAGGGTGCGCCGCAGGGTGCTTCAAGGATACCTGCAAACCCAGTGCCTGCTCAGCCGTGAAGCGCTCTGCAGGCTTCATGGCGAGCAACTTGGTGATAAGGTTTTTGGCATCATCTGACACCTGCAGAGCAGCCAAAGCCAAACCCTAAATGGTACTGATGTTTAAGCCCAAGTGGACACGCTGGTCCCGTCTGTCATCTGTTGAGCAAGATGCACAGTCATACTGTCATACTCAAATATCCACCATCATCACCACCACCACACCACCAAAACTCCCACTACAGTGACTATGCAAGCGACTGCATGAGCTAAAGCATCAAAACCCGTCCATGTTCACTTGCAACATCCAACTCAAACCTCATCTAGATCCACCACAAACCACAGCAGCACCTGGCTCCAGTCCTCTGCTGGGAAGGTGAAATGCCCCCTGCCAAGCTCCGTTTCAAGGCTGAGCATCAAAGACTTCGTTCTACGTCACAGACTGCTGCGCGTTGCTCGTGCTTCGCCCCTAGAATAGTTGATGTTCCAAAGCACAAGCTCACAGCACAAAGCAGGTGCAGCTGGCCTTCGGACCAATGCCAAAACCTGGGGATCTGTGTCTGCCAGGAATGGAGGGTAGCCACAAAGCAGCACCTGGGCAGTCAAGAAAAGTAAAGAGATTTCGACTGCATTGGATCAGTTTTGCACCCGTGCCAACCCCTCTCTATAAATATCTTGAAAACCCTACGTCTACTAACGTTTCTCAACAAAACCAGAAATGTGCTCTGTTCCGCATAGGTTAGCTCTAGCCTCGGAGTTCCTACAATGCTTGCCTTCTCCACCACTGCCTTAATCCTATCATAACCCATCTAAACCCTTGAGATTCACAAGCCCAATACTGCCAAGAAACATACATGATGACCCCGCAGCTCCAAATGTCACAAAGCTCATTGTAGCTCCCTGCTAGGACTTGCGGTGCCACCTGGGCTCAGAAAGGTCGGAAATAGTTCATCTCAGGATCAAGACCCTCAACAACTCAGCCTCTTCCCACTGGGTACCAGCGCATAGTATGGAGTTCCAGACTTCGTCTTCATGGCTTCGTTGGGCCTGCGGGATCGAGGGGGGCAGCATGCGACACCGACAGTCAGACAGTCAGGGGAGGCTGCCTCTTTTCCAGGGCTTTAAGCTGGAACCCCTAGGTCAGATCCCAATTTTGCAACGCAATCCTATTATATACTCGGTTCACATTCGTTTCAATATTATAGTACATCACTCCAGAATATCCATGCGATCTTGCGATCTGGTGTCCTGACTCTATTCTTGACCCAAGCAGCTTAAAATCCGTCGCGAGACCGAAGTCGATCAGTTTCAGGAGATTTGTCTCGATCTTCTCCTGGAGTGCACCACAAACGGGGCGACGGGCCCAGGGACCACGAAAAACCCAACCACATCAGTCACACAAACCCACGGGGGAGGGCACGGATGGCGTGAAATGGATCTATACTGGGTGCAGATCACATGAGAGTGTGAGCTCCCATGTATGTTTTCCAAATCCCATGTCATCTGAAGGTAGTATGTTGAGAGTTGACACCAAGAATGCCGTGAAATAGTATGTTGAGAGTTGACACTGGTCAACCAATCTTTGAGGACACCAAACCAAAATTTCTCATAAACTCCATGCATTGGTCTCCTTCGTATGAAACAAAAAGTTCTCAGGCTTCAGGTCCTTGGTCTGACGCTCTATGATTGATCGCAGCAGAGTTCCCAATCAAAGGCAGTTGGTGGGGGGGCGTCGGGAATCAGAGGTGGCGCACTCAGCTGCAGGCACGATGGCAAATTTTGTTGATGTGCAGGTAGTAGATGGCACTAATCATCTGCTTCATGACCTCGGATGATGGCCCATGCCGCTCTGCTTCCTAGGTCCAGGTGGAACCGTGAACTCGCTCCCTTGCTCGCACCAGATCTCCTTTGATGGTGTTCGGATCTGGAGATCTGGACCAGCATAGGCCAAGCAGGGTGGGTCATCCCGGTCATCCCCACCCCGTGTTCCAAAGCCTCCATACCCAGCCATACCCATCCATCCGTCTCACCTGACGCGTGGGCTCCGAAGCTCCCCGCCGGGTGCCCGGGCGATGGCGGCCTGGGACTCGGTGAAATGCCCCGCCTCCACGATGCGGTCGAAGAGCTCACCACCTCGCGGAGCCGATCAAAACGAAGAGAAATCCACGTTCGAGAACCAAATCAGATGCATCATGAATGAATGAGTAGTTATATAATATATATATATAACTATAACTTATTTATACTCTGTTCTCTCTGGATTGATGTGGATTGTTGTTGTGTCCATTTTGGATGTTTCTTTACCCTATTGGTGCTGAACGCCGGGCCAAAACATACATGTGCTTGGGAATCGCATTGCAATCCCGTTGCGCAAACTAGTAACTGCACATCTGCCTGGACATATACAGGACCGCCGACGCTCAAGCCTGAACACATCTCCATGATCAAGTAGAGGTTTCGCTTGTCCTTGCCAGTCCGACGAAATTCAAACTCCAAGCCAAACTCCACATGGCGGTGCATCTTGTCGTGATTGCAGCAGCAAGACTACTTCTCTTGGTGACACCACATCGACAACCTGCCTCAAATGTCTCATAGAGCTTGATGATACCTCAGCAATTTTTGTGGATCTCAGACCTCTGGCATCCGTCATCATGACCCAGGCTGCTGGTGCAATGGATGTCTCATGCCCCACGAACAAAGCTGGGAGACTTGTAAGGTCACTACTAACAACAGAACGTGATCCTACAGGCCATCCTTGAGCACTCAACCACCAACCACAATCCGCCTAAATCTGCCAAGCAGAACCGCAGCTGCAATTCGGCAAATGCATGCAAATGCCTTGTATCATTGTATCACTTGTTTGGTGAACCCTGTTCATCATGCTTTGAAGCCACATACGGTGGCATCCTGCCACTTGAAATATCAAACAATGGCCTGCATCAAAGTGGAGGTCCCAAGAGCCATTGGCCTGTGGAGAGCAAATTGCCAAAGCTCCAGATCTATAACGACCAGCTTTACCTTCCACTTCGCACATCCATGCGAATCTCAGGTGCCAGGATGGTCCAAGCGCTTCATGATGTCGATCTCACAGTAGAAGCGCTCCAGAACCTCACAAGTCTGGCAAATGTGCACGTGTGTGTGTGTAGCTCTGTATAAGCTCCGCAAACATGCACTCACCGCTTGACTTTTGAAATGTTCTTTTTGCATCACACACTGCCCCATAAGATTTTAGGTAGCCTGATGGGAGGCGGCACATTCAGTATCTACGCAGTTCTCATGTGTGACAACATGCGCACATATGTGTGTGTGTGTGTACCCCTTGGAATCATAGCGACCCTTTTGGATTGGATAACTTTCGGTTTCTTCAAAAGTTACAGCAGGGGAGCGGTGGGCATTCTTGAAGTCACCGCTCAACGAAGACACTTCATGTTTGCTGTGGTACGCAATCTGGACGCAGATTGCACGTACCTGCAACACGATGATCACCACTCATTTCTTTTTGGGCCCCTTCGCAGCTAGAACAAGACATGCAGCCATTGCATCGGCTACGCTCGGCAGTCACGCAGTAATCGCTTTGGTTGAGAAGCTCGACTGTGGAGTTGGAGGCCTTGAGGCCTCGAAGACGTTTAGACCACCCTGTCTACACCTATCCTGGCTTCTTAGGCTTTTCACTTAGGCCGGCGTGTGGCCAACCGCAACTGCATCAGTGCGCATGTCAATAAGTGTGTCTGACGTTCGTGTCAGCCCACGGTGACCCCGAAGAGTGGCCCCTGTGGACCTGTTGAACGGGGGTTTGTCGAACGTACCCCCTACCTGGACACAGAAAAGCTCGCAGCGAGCATAGGTGGCTTATGCAAAAGTTATTTGCCAAGACTTCACGGGCTATTGCATTCCAAGCTGGCTTTATGCCAAAACGTGACCGCAGCGGTCCAAGCTGGCTTAACGCCACCACAAGGTCAGAGCGACCGAAGTTCTTTTTAGGTTCACTAGTACCTGTCGCATTCTCAGGTGCACATACAGCGTATACACTTAAACGAGGCGAGGTCTACCTAGGTCTTTCTAACGAGGTTCGGTCTCGTCGGTTTCCGTCCCCTTCATTTGGTTTCCCTTCTCATTCTTTTTTCCCATCGACACATCTTCTTGTCCTCTTTCGTTTCACGTCTTCCTGTCCTCATGTTCCGTCATCTCATCTCTTTCCTTCTTTTGCGCACACACGGCTCGGCCCTTAGTTTGTACGTGCGCAACCTACCTTTAACCCAGGTTTCAAGTCGCCCTGGTCTTTACAATGGGGTGGGCTTTCAGTTCATCGCTTGTCCGAGAACTTTCGGGTTGTTCCAAAGTTACAGCAGGGGAGCGGTGGGCATTCTTGAAGTCACCGCTCAACGAAGACACTTCAAGTTTGCTGTGATATGCAATCAGGACGCAGATTGCACGTACCTGCAAGACGATGAGACATCCAGCCATTGCATCGGTTACGCACTCGGCAGTCATGCACTGTCTACACCTATCCTGGCTTCTTAGGCTTTTCACTTAGGCCGGCGTGTGGCCAACCGCAACTGCATCAGTGCGCATGTCAATAAGTGTGTGACACCCTGTGTCTAAGGGTCTTCCGTGGATTCCCTTCTCCAACCGTTTCACAGCCGGGGGCATGGCCACTGTTCTAGCCACGCCAACAAAGCTATGGGAATGTGGACGCACACTCCTGTAGCTGCAATTTTTGTCACTTTCTGCATTTGTGATTCTACGTAATGCTCAACGCTGTCTCACATACATGTCGTTTCTGCCGAAAAAGGGCTAATGCTGCACAGGGCTGATGCAGCGGTGACCCAGTGTCCTTACGAATGCTCGACCAGTTGAGTTTTATATCTAAGTGTCTCCAGCTGCATCTTGTGCGGTGTGATCCCTTCGAGGCGCGTACCTCACTCACTGAAGGAATCGTTTTTGCAGCCGGATTTCAGTTTCTGATCCAGCGTGTTGCACGAGAATGCTGATTACCCAACCGCCGGGTTCACGGACTACTTTCTCCAGAGTTGCATAGGAACAATAAATGTTTCCAACTTCCACCTAGTCATGTAGTTTTGCATTGAATGATTCATGCACGTTTCTGCGTGGTTCATGCATTGGTTCCCGTTTTAATGTAAGCGACTTTCTCTCCTTCTTGCGTCTTCTCTTTCTAGGTCTTGGTTCGTTGCTAAAGGCTTGTTTGGTTGTAACTGAAGCTTTTTAGCCCAGCGAGCGCCGGATTCGGCTTCATGGCTCAGTGCCTTTCCACACACCGCACACACCCTCTCCTGTTTTTGGTCGTGTGTTAGGTCTTCTCCTTGAGGCTTGGTAGGTTGTTTTTCAGGCTCGTTCAGTCGATCCACCACCCCACACACAACCAACCAACAACCCCTCCCGCCCCCCTCGACTTTCGCTTCGTTCTCTCCCGCCTTTCGTTTCTCGTTCTTTCGTTTCACTTTCTAGGCCTTTCTTTTTCCTAGAGGCTTCTTAGGTGTGTAACCAAGTTCTTTAATCATGAGAGCTGCACGTGCTGGGAGATGCTTTCCTTCCTTTCTCGGTTTTTCTCTTTCTAGGTTTCCTGCTCTTTGCTAGAGGCTTGTTAGGTTGTAGAAGGGGCTTTTTTCCCGGCCTACTGTGTGCGTCACACCCTATATCTAAATGTCTTCCATGATTCCCTTCTCCAACCGTTTAACAGCAGGGGGCCCATGGCAGCTGTTTCCCTAGCCATGCCAACTAAAGCTATGGGATTCAGCCGGAAGGGAATGTGGACGCACACTCCTGTAGCTGCAATTTTTGTGACTTTCTGCATTTGTGATTCTACGTAATGCTTCAACGCTGTCTCACATACATGTCGTTTCTGCTGTAAAGAGCTAAATGCAGTACAGGGCTGACGCAGCGGTGAACCAGTGTCTGAACGAATGCTCGACCAGTTGAGCTTCATATCTAAATGTGTGTTTGAGCATCTCTGTGTGTGTACGCATTTCGCGATGAACAAATTCCACCATAACCGTCGGTCTTTTGATTCGGTCCTAACACCACCCCTCTCGGACGCAGCACGTGCGGACCTTCGAGCTGGAACCTCCCGCTGTCTTGCAGATCGTCTTCAGCGCGCCTTGCTGTTCACGCACGACATCTTTCAATGGTCTCGTGGATTCCTTCATGTTGATGTTCAATGGTCAGGCTAGGCAGGGTTTCGAAAACTACAAAATCTTGAGCCTAAGCACAACAATAGACCAAGCGTGCTCATGATGTTGGTTGCCTCATCTCACCCACGTGCATGCAGCATTGATTAAGTTCAATCATGAGATCAGCAAGAGAAGAGCCCTTGACCAGCATCGTGCTTCAAGAGACTTTGTGCAGCCACGCCGCGCACAGACCCAGTTTTCCTGAGAACAGGTTACAAAAGCAGAAAAAAAACAGGACATGCAATCCACTCCAGTGCAGTGAGGGGTGCGATGATTGGCGTGCTTCCCAGCGCTCGGGGAGTTGTTCATCCGAAAAAAAAGGATGCTGGCAGAACCTGAATGTCTCAAAGTTCTTCTTTATCGGTATCGTTTCTCTCCTTCTGTGAACCTTCTGATATGAAAATAGACCATTCTTGGAAGGAAAGGTCGACCCATGGCACCATTTGTGCGGGATTTCGGCCGCTTTCGAGTCATGCTTGTCCGGAGCCGAGTCTGATCATTGGACCCGGAACTGTGGGTGGTCTTGCGGGTTTTGCTTCATTCAATGATAATTCTGAAATGAGTTTCGACTTGGCACGTTCATGAGCATGCTTGCGCCGCCCTGATTGATCCTTGCCGGGCATCTTATGCTTGGCCTTACAGACTGTGCCATAGGAGCCGGCACCGAGCCTCAGATTGCGTTGCAAGAAGTTGACTCGTTCAACCTACAGTATTTAATGCTCGCCACCTTACCATGGCGTTCGGTTCTCATGAGGTTCACAACCTGAAGCTACGTGGCACCAGTCATTGAGCGGATTGAGACAAAGGGAGGCCCACGACTAGGAACGTCCCCAGATTGCCAGCAGGTGACGCTTTGTTCTCGGTGATGTAATGGTCTCGGACAGAGCCTTGGCCACCACCCTGGCAAGTCAGAGCTGCTCAGTCGGTTGGCTTCCAACAAAAACACCTCAATTGACCGTTCTAGGGACGGGAGCTCAAGGGGAAAGAGGAAAATCATCCCCCTGAATGATAGCCAGGTGAGGTTGTGCTAAGCATTCTGTAGTTACAAATCAAAAAAAGTGGTTCCCAGAGGCCTACAGAATCACAAACTTGCGATCCAAAGTCAAAAACAGAGGCTCTACAGGGACACTCTCTACAAAATGAGAAGGTTGTGGAAGGGGATAGATACAGCATGAGAGAAAAAGTGGTTCCAAAAACGGAGAAACTGCACATAATGCATTCTGTAGAGGGTGCCAATTTTGCAAGTTAGGTATGGTGCAAATGGGCAAATAGAAAGATGACAACCCAAGGTTTGGAAGGGCTTGTAATTATTCTGTTCGATTGAAACCATTTGAAACCTATTCATTGTTGTATCCTTCTATTTTGATCTATTTTTGATTGTTTTATATTTACAGTATTTATTTTCTTCAATTCTATTTTATGGCTTTCAGATGCTTTCAGATCAGTCTGTTTGTTCACCATCTTTTACATAGGAGCCAAGACACAGCAAACGTGACATTAGAATACATTAGAGGTCCGTCCTAGGTGGGTACAACTTTCTCTACAAGGTGCCAGTTCTTCTACAAGATGCAAACCGGCCAGGCTCAAAACACCTCCAACGCAAATGAACATGTTTCTCTACTGAATCACAATCCTGCAAATCGACATCTTCCAGAAACTCCAAAATGTCTCCTCTACAAAATGCCAAACCTGGAAGGGTAAGACAAGTTTCTCTATAACAAAATGCCTTATATCAATGCCCAAGCCCTGGCATTCTGTAGAGGATACAGGCAGGGGTATGGAAAATCTGTAGAACCATGGCCCCCATGCCACACATTCAGACTCTTCTCCACACTTTCCAGGAATGCTTGACCAGCTTGACCATTTGGTTTGTCCGGCAGATGGAAGCCCTCTCTCCAGGGCGAGGCATGGTTGTTTGCCCCTGGAGCTGCGCCTTGGACGAGGGACTGCCGCCCGGCCTCGGAACATCGTGTCGAGACGCTGGTCGGATTCAATGGTTTAACCACTCCTAACGCATACAACATCATCAAAGCAATGAAGTGCAAAGCCAAAGTATGGAATTCCTCAAGCAAATGTACCGGCTCATGCCCCAGGGGCCCCAAGGCCATCTGTAATTCTGTCTAAGGCCTCCTTGATTGTTTGAGTTGTAACAAGCCAAAACGCCAGAATTGGTTCGGGAATTCCAGGATTATCTACTCTCAAAGTACTTGTAACAAACTCCTTTGACCAAACCCCTCTTCGTCCAACACCACCTGGTGGGTTTCGTTTGGAGACTTGCAGCACAGAAGCTTCTTGTCATCCGGCAAAGCCTTGGGGATATCCTGGCGCTACCGGCTGATACACTCGCGAGATATGTCAACAAGCCATTCCAACCAAATATCAATTATCCCCTGTTCTCAACTGCTCCATGGCACCACCCATCTCCCCCCAGCCTGTCCAAAGAAGGCGGCGAAGCAACCGCCACAGTTCTGAGCACAAGAACTGTGAACTGGAGACACTGGCTGACCTTAACCTACAATTTCTCCGAAACAGCACGAAGCCCACCGTGAAGCTACAGAAACTCATCCAGTAGACGAGCTTCAAAGAAGCGCTGAATCGTTGAAGTCATCAACAGAAGGCTATTGCACCTGGGTGCCCTCAAACATCCTTTGCAGTACGACAAGTTACCAAAACGTGATCGCTTGAAACTTTAAACGCATAGCTGAAGTGCTTCGTCTTGGGTGCCCGGCCATGTCGTTTAGGCCAAATAGGCCAAACGGCCAGAAATCCTATGTCCACCTCTCCTGCTCTGAGCCCACGCTGTGTGTGTGTGATGACCGAAGTAAGTTCACATCCTTGGCTCCTGCATTTGGGACCATGCTGGAGGACCCGGAAGAGAAATGTTTCAAATGTAAGCCTCTGCATTATGACCTCGTCGGCGCTGTTAAAGTTATAATGCAGACATCTATCTATCTATCTATCTATTGTGGGCCAGAACTCTTCCTTCACAGTTGCAGTTCCACGATGTTCCACGCAACCACATTCCCGCATCGGCATCACCCAAAACACACAAATATGGCACCTGCCGTGCCTGCTCCCCTGCAACCCTACCCTACTAGTCACTAGTCACTAGTCAAACCCTCTGACGACATGAGCACCCGGGATTGTGCCCAATGTGATGTTTCCATGCTCGAAATACACATCATCATGCATCATGGCAGCAAGTGCCAGCTTCTCTCACAGCTCTTTTTACGCCAGCTTTTCTGGGGCATCGTCCTTGAGCACTGGCTTCTGCCAGCTGATCCGATTGCGATTGGGCTCGGCTGTCTCGGCGGCCTTCTCCAGACGGTCCAGGGCCTCCTCAGAGAGGCGCACGCCGTACTTCTTCGCCAGCTCCCGCACCGGCGACTCGGGATATTGCACACCTGGTGGCCGGGCGTGAAGATCGTGAAGCCGGTGGATTCACAAGACCAGAACGGACAAGAACGAACATGACATGTGCGCTGAACACGTAGTGCCTTTTCGTAGATTTGTCTTGTCCCTTTCATTAAACATCGCCACCCTGCATTCCAAGACCGAAACTGAACCCAAGGAATCTCCCTTCAACCCTGCGGGACCATCAGACCTTCTTTCTTCTTCTCCTCCGGCAGCGGTGTCCAGAACTTCTTCTGTCCCTCGCGCGGGATCTCCCAGGGCGGCTTGGTGGGTGCCAACTGCGGATCATCGATATTCACCTCGCCATTCGCCGCCGCCGCCTCCACCCGCTCCACAGCCTCCTGAGAGAAGACCAGCTTGGGCACCTCTCGGACAGGCACCGGGATGTGCGTTCCGTGCAATGTGGTCCTGGGACGCACCTTCTTACCACCAAAGGTCTGCAACGGCCTCGGACCAAGGTCTGCAGTGCAGCGACCAAAAAACACAACAGAGTGTGAACAAAGGCGGCGACAAGAGCCAAAGGCAAAACAACCCAAAAGCAAACAAATCTTCTTTCTCGACTCTACTGATGGTGTGACTCTTGTTGCACTGAAAAGGCGAACAGTTGCCACCTGGCAACAAGGACAGGTCCTCTTCTGGCTCCTCTTCTTCTTCGTTCACAGGAACCAGGGACAGGGCTTCCTCATCAGCTCGAATCGCCTCGGCCCGAAGTTCCAAATCCTTGCGCATGTACTCCTCTCTGGTCATTCCAATGTCATCCAGGAAGGTCTGGTCAGGCTCTTCCTGGAATGTTGAGGAGCAGAAAAAGAACAACCGTTGAAGCGATCCTGTCCGCACTTACCCTCACGCGGATCACCACCCGCCTGCTTCCTATAAGCCCTTGGGCTTCTGTAGGCCAAAGCATCCTTCTTTCTCAACACGATCTGTCCACCTTCCACGCTGCTTCGTGCGAGGCCTTCCGCAGGCAGCAGCTTCCTGCTACGGCCACCAGCCAGGCTGATTCTCTTGGGCGTCCTGGCACCCACAAAGATTCAACATGGAGAATCTGGGGTTCCGAATGGCCAACCATACCTAGGACCCTTCAGATCCTCCACATCCCTAGAGACGCTTTTCAGGACGCATTCAACAAACCAAACCAGCTCAGACCTTTGTGCGTCCAAGATCTTTTGCTGGTGCTCCGGAGGCGGCAACCAAGCCACTCGGTGTTCCTCAAGCGCACGAAAATGGCTGCAAACTACGCCGTCAAGAGCGGGACAACTTAAAAGTGTCCGTCTCTCAGAACGGCTTGCTACCGCATCCTGCTTCTGCAAGCTTGCTTGCTCTATCAAACATTAACACTCATGGTTCACCTCTAGAGGCTTGAGCGCAAAGCATTCGGTGGAGAATACAACGATGGGTTTCTGCTTCGCAAGGTTTTTTGGGCCTGGCATGGATATCAAGTTGACCGGAGTTACCACTTCCTCAGAACCATTAAGTGCTCGCAGAACATTTAGATGTAGTATAGCATTTCAAGCATAACTATCTTGACGCCGTGATGAGTGCTCAGCCTTTGACGTTGTCATTTGTCGTTGATCTATGAGCTGCCCAGGGGCAACAAAGGATTCATCAACCATAGAGCATTGCAAGCAAAGGGTTAAGTTGTGCTGGGTTCACTTGGATTGGATGGCTTCCATGCGTGAAATGGCAGGACCATCCACAAAATTTCAGTTGGCACTTGGGCCATCAAAGAACCCGAAACAAACTCCTGAACCTCAGTTGGAGGCCCAATTCTTGAGTTTCGCACCTGTCTGAAAAACAGTGCACACTACAACAGTCGGTTCTGCAGCCCATACAACTCTCACACACCCGACAAGAGGAGTGCAGCAACATCACTCAGGGGCCACTGCAGCAATTCGATTCACTTGGGCCAACTTGCCAACTTTCTTCAGGTCAGAACCACCCAGTACTCCCAGTGCATCCGCGAGTCCTCTGGTTCCCGAAAGACCCAAGAGTTGATGAGGGGATAGATCTCTTTGCGCATCTCCCGGAGTTCCTTCCTGATGCCCCACTCACCACGGTAGGGCAAATGGGGTCTGACGCAGGAAGCCTGATGCTGCCCACGTGAAGGCTGCGAGTTTGGGGTCGTAAAACTCCGGGGTCAAACAAAATTTGTGCGGAGCTTGTGGATGTATGAAGAAACTCCTTCGTGCGTCATTGGTTTGTTTAAAAAAAACACGTTTCTTCAGCCCTTCCTGTCTCACCTGCCTGGTGCTTCAAATTGTGCTCAGCGAAGCAGCTTTCACTACAGTACGCAGCACCCTCGCAAACGGGGCAGACCTTGAACCGCCGCCCTTCCTCCAACGTGGTCTTCCGGCACACGCAGCAGACTTGAACTGGGAAAGCTGGCGCTTGCTTCTTGTCAGTTCTAGCATAGGTACCCTTCTCATACTTGACCCACACATCGTCTCTCACCATCTGCACCAACTCACAACTGGTGACCATCACGTTATCTCGGGAGAACTGTGCCGTCATGTCAAGTTCCATGACCGTGGAATTGTTGCAGTTACTCCGCGGGGGCTTGTTCTCGTAGTTCACACGCCGCTCGCAGTCTTTGCAAACCAAGTAGCGGTCTCTCCAAGGATTATCTGGTCGTTCGACGTACAAGATCTGCGGGGCAATGCCCCTTTTCTTGCTTCGTTTGTGCTTCCTGGACAGAATGAAACTGGGGAGCAAAAAGCCTTCATCCCCCCTCTTCCCACCCTCGCCGCAGACCACGTGGGCAATGAAACTGAGTGTTTCGGTGTTCGATTGAAGGACAGGTTGTCTTAAATGCTCTAAAACTGAAAGGCTCTTTGAAAACTGCAGCAGGCCCAGCGACGAGCAGCTAGCGGCAAGCGGCTGGCAGGGTCACGAAAAAGGAGAGAGAGGATTTACTAACCAAGTGTCAAGCTGCAGTCTGCCATCTCTCAAATTCTTCATGATGGAGCATGATCATTCCCCCGTGAGCAGCCTGGGAGTCTCATCCCCTCCTTCTCCCCTACTTCTCCCCTACTTCACCCAGTGCACAAACAGGCTTTAGACCTCCCACATGGCCAAGCTTCTGCCGAAAGAAGTTGTTGAGGCTTGAGATCTGTGAGTGTCGAATCTGCAGGTGCCTCAACTCACCCACGCTCAGGTCGGCATCGCTCTTGGACTTCTCTTTGTCTTTCACTGTCAAGTTGATCTCCATCCCCCCTCCTGGCAGCTTCCTGGGCAACTTCAAGTGAGCATCGCAAATGCAACAGGAGAAGATTTAGACTACATGGCACAAGGAGCAATGGTAATAGGGATTATTAGAATGAGGTTCCTCCACTCTTTGGACCCTACCAGCCTGAATCCATTCTCATTCTGGATTCTCTTCGAAAGTTTCGCTCGCAGCCCCTGGTGAACCACACGTCTGGCCATGAAGACGCCGCAAAGGCCCAGCACTGCACTTGGCACTGAGGCCGGTCGCCCTTGCGACCATGTACCGAACACACATGGAGTCCATGCGGCTGCTCCAGGCGCGCTGGGCGCGCTGGGAGTGGTGCCGGAAGCACCGGCACCAACAGGGCCAGGCGGTGGCGACAGCAACGCCATGGGAAAATCGGAACGGTTTCAATCTGGAGCCACAGCAACGCCAAGGGTGAAAGCGCCTTTAAACCATGGCTCAACTTATGCTCTGTAGCGCTCACCGGCGGATGAAAGCACGACTTTTTGATTCTGAACATCAGAACGTAGGGATGTGGGCATCGTGGCCAAGCTGAAGACTGCGTGCGCGTGACGCATCTGCCAAGCTTGGCGGTCTTAGGAGGCTTGTGGCTTTGGATGGGAATCCGACGCCGAGCTGGGGTCTGCATGCATCTATAGACATATGAGATATGCCTTTGCTTCTTTTTACAGGTGAAAGATTTTAGCTGTCTCGCCAAGCCCGCCAAAGGTAGCCCCCGATGCACCAGTGCAAATGTAGCACATCATGCCCCATACCTGTTGCGCTAGGAACTGGGTTCGGGTCCACACTCCATTTGAAAAAGGAGGCGAGGTAGCCCTCTCTCACAATTTCAGCGCTGGAACGAAACCTCCGCGCATTCTTTTTGAAAACTGTGGACTTGGTTTTCTTGGACATTGTATACCGTTTTGTACCTATGGATCCTCCTGTAGTCCAACTGGGAATTCGGAATTCACCTAGCTTGCAGTAGGCTGCTAGGCCACACTGGGCCAACAGGAACTATCAGCCATTCTGGCAACAAGCTCCTTCTGCTCCGTCTTCTGTCAGCTGGTGTGGAGATCCTCTCAGATCATAGTTGGGACATTCTCCCACATCTTCACTTCCTTGCAGGTGAGCCATCTTTCATTGCATCCAATTAGAACATAAAAGAACCAACTGCTAGTTGGGAGTCTCCTTACTGAATCACTGGCCCATCAATCAGGGCGTCGGCTATCAATGGCCTCTCACATTTCATATTTATATATATATATGGGTGTGCGTCAAAACCCCGGGTCTCAGGTGAACATCGCGCACCTTCCTGTTCCATAGGGTATGGAACGGATCCCTTGTTCCATAAGGTATGGAACAGGTATGGAACGGGGGTATGGAACAAATTGTACCAAATTACACCACCGTAGACCCCAAACAGTTTGTGTTTTCAAAATCGAAACTAGAGCTTGCGACGTCCAGAGCTGGGAGATAAATGTAAAGGATTGCAAGGCAGAGACGGACACAGCAGTACAGAGCGGGGGGACACATCTTAAGAAAGAAGTGAGAAGCCCTAACAGTAAACCTTTTGGGGAATTATTCTTCAAGCGCGAACATGATGCTGGTCATGCTGCTCAGTCAGCGGGGAGCTGACCACGTGAGGACAAGAAACAAAAGCATGAGGAGCGAAGGATGTGACATGAAATTGATTTTTGGCGCCTGACATATGCCCTCCGCCCCAACTGAATAGAGAGATCGCTGCCACACCGCCGAAATCCAATCCGGTCATTCATCCAACGGTTGCCCGAGAAGGAAAACAAAGCTGAGAGAGTTACACACTGCGGCAGGAATGCAATCCCGGAGACAGTCACGCACCCCTTGCAAAGGAGCAAGAACCTTTCACAGGCGAACCTGTTCCAGCGGACAGGGCAGAAAACAGCAGTGCAGGCACCAAACCTGAAAGACAAAAAGAAAGAAATCACATGGGAGACAAATGAATAGAAATGCTACATGGCCAGCGGAAAAGGGCGGCAGCACCAGTGACAGACCCGGGAAACAAATTAATAGAAATGCTGCATGCCCAGCGGAAAAGGGCGGATACCAACAGTGACAGACCTGGGAGACTAATGAATAGAAATGCTGCATGGCCGACGAAAAGTGCGGACACCAGCAGTGACAGACCTGGGAGACAAAACACTGGCAGTGACAGACCTGGGAGACAAATGAATAGAAATGCTACATGGCCAACGGAAAAGGGCGGACACCAACAGTGACAGACCTGGGAGACAAATGAATAGAAACAGCGGAAAAGGGCGGACACCACCAGTGACAAGCCTGGGGGACAAATGAATAGAAATGCTGCGTGGCCAGCGGAAAAGGGCGGAAATTAGCAGTGACAAAGACAAATGAATAGAAATGCTACATGGCACCAGCAGTGACGGACCCGGGAGACAAATGAAGCATTTCTGGGAGATAAATGAAAAGAACCGGGAGACAAATGAAAGCAAGTGTAGGGCGGGAACCCGACCACAAGCACCCAGCCTGGGAGACAAATGAAAAGAAGTTGGTGACAAATGAAAAGAAGTGGGAAACAAATAAGAAGAAGTGGGAGACAAGCCGGCCGGGAACCCGACCACAAGCAGAAAAGAAGTGGGAGACAAATGAAAGGAAGTGGGAGACAAGCTGGCCGGAAACCCGACCACAAGCACCCAGCCTGGGAGACAAATGAAAAGAAGTGAGAGACAAATGAAAGGAAGTGGGAGACAAGCCGGCCCGGAACCCGACCACAAGCACCCAGCCTGGGAGACAATGAAAAGAAGTGGTAGACAAATGA